AAACGAGCAAGCCATTCTTGAGATAATATCAAAATACTGAACACACCCGATTTTTAGGGTCAAAATAGACCTTTTATACTTGTTTTAGCTCGCGTTTCTCACAGATAAAATGAAATGACCTAATATTTTGGATTTGATTATGATTTGATTAGACCTTTCATTTGAGACAACAAAATCGAAAAAAACTTCTCTTCGGGGGCCTAGAACTAAGGTAGGATGGTCTTCTGGTGGACTCTCTCTTAAAAATTTTTATCCACGAAAAGGACAAAATCTTGACAAACCGATATCAGAGTTGTTATTTACTCGCAAGGTACGTTCATTTTATAGTATTTACAGAGTGGGGAAAAATCGATGATTTCTGACCAGATCCTTTTCGAGCGCAGCATATTTCCCTTAACATTTTCTAATCATTTTGTAACTTTTCAAAAGTTCGATCTGCACAGAAAAAATGACGGTGGAATCAGGAGCGATACTTAAGATCTTACGGACCATACTATCCCAACAATGAGTTTTTCTGTAGAACCTGAACAGTGTGATCCTTGGAAATTTTCGAGCGCAGCATATTTTACTTCACAATGTGTGATCATTTTGTAGCTCTTGAAAAGCTCTATCTTTCCTGAAAAGATGAGACTGATTTGGTAAACTAACGCGGTTAACCTGTGAGGGGGACTCCGATATTGATAATGCTTCTGTCCTAGGTAGAAATGTCTAGAAGAGGTCTTGAAACATGGCCTGAAAGAGGTCCAGATGCTTTATTCTTACTTACAGGAAGATGAAATTCAATTTTATAAAGTGTTCTGAGATGATTTTTATTTAGGGCCGTTTTTCGTGCAAACCCGCCCCCCTCCTTTCTTTACTGTCTTGCCATACCTCTCATGCGATGCTAGTTGCCGACGAACGAGATCTTTTGCAATTTAAATCTCCACTGGCGTTTAAAGAAAAGGAGTGAGTAGCAGTGAAGTGAAGTTGGAATGTAAATATCGCTTGTGTTTGATGTCAATCCCAGCGGAAAAAGACAAGTTCTATTGGAACAATAAAATCTCCGCCGGCATCTAAAGAAAAGGAGTGAGTAGCAGTGAAGTGAAGTTGGAATGTAAATATCGCTTGTGTTTGATGTCAATCCCAGCGGAAAAAGACAAGTTTTATTGGAACAATAAAATCCCCGCTGGCGTCTTATATAAAGAAACCATGCGAATATATGCCTAAGAAAATTCAGTATCTTAAACGAATTTCACCTTTCGGCGAAAATGAGATGCTAGCCGGGAGCAGAGAGCTGCAAAACGTATAAAAATTAGAATCATTCTGTTAGCTTCATTTTGCAAAATTTTCAGCAGTGCGACAAGCATGTGGATTGTTCTAACTGTTTTCGTGTGAGTAACTGATGCTGAAGGACCATACACTTTTGTAAAAATGTTTTGATGTGTCTGTTTAGATACGTTGCGGGTGTGTCAGGTGAGAACATTCATCGATAGCATTATCATAATTATATTTAACATCTTAAAAAATAGGGCAAGTGCCGGCTAGCTCTTAATGTCAACCTTCGACGTGTGGCACTCGCGTAGTGTCTTGTTCAACCAACTCCGACTGCGAATGCCTTGCACTTAGTTCAGGCTTGAGTGGTATATGTATCGCTTCGGTACTTCCCTGCTCGAGTCTGACATTGTGCTCAAGGGATAATGTGACATGCGCAGTGTCTAGCACTATCTGCGTTGCCAGCACTCGCTGTAACAAACCAATGTGTTATCCATTAGCACTCGCCGTTCCACAAGTGTGTCCACCGCTAAATTCAAGCGCAACAACACCGTCGGTTCCTACAACAACAACAACACGGTCAACAACAAAAACAACAACACGGTCAACAACAAAAACAACAACACGGTCAACAACAACAACATCAACACGGTCAACAACAACACGACCAAGAACAACAACAACAACAGCACGGCCAACAACAACAATAACAACACGGCCAATAACATCAACAATAACACCCACGAAAACAACAATAAGTGAGTGGGCTAGATTTTTAGTGTTCCGCCAGAAGTCAACAACGTTTTCATGGTTTCCCTGCTTCCATGGAACCCAAATTTTCCAGAACTCGTAGTTGACGGTGTCCGACTGTCAAAAATATTTTGAAAAGCGCCACTAGAATGGCTTTTGATGAACTCAATACGTCGACCCTGATCTTAATAGCCATCTATACTGGAAATACTTTTTTGATACAGACTTCAGTTACTGGCAACCATGGACCCTAGTTGCGTAAGTTTTTTTGCGCTGCCACGCCTTGGGTCCCTGCTGGCAACGAATAGAAGAATAACCAAAAGGGAAGAAAATGTTGATATTTTGTCAACCCGAAATGACAGATTACATGATTCGAACAAGGTCAACTTTAGACCTCATCAGCGAGGACAAGTCAAATTTCTGCGACTGCTGACATATTCTTTTAGTGATCCAAGAAAAGTGCCGAAGAAAATGTCCCAATCAGTGTTTGCCACAACCTACTTGTTGACGAGATCATTTTTACATCGATGAATTCCAATCCGAGATCTGTTTTGTGTTTTTCTGTCACCTTGAAGTTTTAGTCAAAATGAAACAGATATTCGTGATCAGCATAAAATTCCGGATCAAATAAAGTGTCACATATGGTACTGGGACACAAAAAATATCGAGAGATGCGGGGTCCATATCGGTTTAGTCAGGAACCGACAATTATTTTGCTAGTAGACATTGTCTGGCACCTCATTCGACTTTGAATTTTCACTAGTCCTGGGAGTCCGGCATGGTCTGTCTGGTGTGATGTAAAATTTGATTCTGTTTGACTCATGACCCCCATCTTGACTAGGTAACGAAACAGTTCTTATGAAAGTGTAACTGCAGCGATATTATTGACAAAGAATTATTGGCAGTAAAACTTAATCAGAGGCCAGAAAATACGTAGTGATATGTCAGACCTCTGAAAAAGAAGTGAGTCACGCATTGCCACCTAGAATTACGAATGTAATTAAACGACATGGTACGATCAAAGACGCTACACGAAGTGGTCGTCCATGTAAAGTAAACAATAATAAAATCGGGGACGTTAAACACAAATGTGGTGTCAGTCAAATCACATTAACTCGGGTTTATGAGGACTATGAAACAGCAATGTCACGTAATCTAAAAGGTGAGAGTCAATATTCGTATTAGAAGACGACAATATGCATAGATGTGTTAGGCACTGATTTTTCACCGCCGACGCCGATTGAATTAGGGGTCACAGGTCAGACTTATTTTTCTACATTCTCACTTGTTGATAATGATTATTATTATTTTAATTCGATCCTTGTGACAATCAGAGATTGTTGAAACCGGCAGAACTTTTACAAATTAGAATTAGTGCATTCTTTCTTGGATGATTTGTGGCCTGAAGGTAGGGCTGATAAACAAGTATCTCTCCTTGTCATTTTGTGACGCTACCATATCCAAGGGGGAAAAGCATATTTTTTACCTTCAACTAGTTTACTCTTACTTTTAGAGAACAATTCTGTCTGATATCATAGCTGCTGGAGCATGCCATTACGCTCTAGCAGATGTGAGAAATCGATGAATGAATTAGATTTCGCGTCATAAGATACTTTTCGAATGAAGTCTGTGCACTCCTCCGTTCGCAAACGCATACTTGACACCGATTGAATCCAAGTGCACTTGCATCGAATCCAAGCGAAATTCGCTCTCAAGTAGTCGTTGATTTCGAACGAATAGTCGAGACGAGATTCTCATTGGACACGGTAAATCGCCAGGAAGATTCAAGCGGATGAATTCATAGACTTTGTGACCACCTGTGAGGAGTAAGACAAGAGCAAAGTCTTCAGCCGGCTTCAAATAGCGGTATTGATTCGGAGTTTTTAACAAATTTTTGGGTCGATTTTCGATGAATAATGATAAGCAGACGAGTTTGGCTGGATTCGAAGAGTGAATCAAATTTAGGTAGAACAGAACAAGAGCTTCCAGCCACGGAAAACCACGAAGAAGATTGACAGAAAGAACTAGATCATCGGACGAAGAAGGCGCGAATTATTGTTCAGCAAAGAAGCGAGCATGCAGAGCGGTCATGAGGCCGTCGACTTGATCCTGGAAACCAGTCTTGATTTTCCACGTACCGTTGTTCATTAGAAAGTCCACTCTTTGTTTGACAGCAAGCAGACGTGGATCGATAGAAACGAGATGAATGCAGTCGAGAACGCCGGATGGAGAGAAGAGAAGTGAGCATGCTGATGAGGCATCTTGAGAACGAGACAGTTGCATTACGGCATCGCTGCATTGAGTCCGAATAAGATGGTAAAAGGTGCCTCCTTTCAAAGAAAAGACGACAGCCGGAAGAATGATAAGTGATAATATGATCTAATCACTGGAAAAACAACAAAGGACGAATTTTTTGAATATAACACAACAAAGACCAGTAATATGATTCTAAATTTAGACCATGTTGATAGTTGAATCATAATCATATATTGTAGAAACTCAGTGCAGTATTACGGGTTTCAAATATCAATGAGCAAAACGTAGACCCAATTCTAATGTACTATTTATTCAATAACTGGTTCGTTGTCTGTCTGTACACGCCGACAGATAAAGGCAAAATATTTAAAAAGTGGCGGAATCTATCTATCTACAACTTGGTTTAAAAATAGTACATAATCAGTAATAGTTTGAAATCGAGCAAAGGAAAACAAAACAGAGCGATTTTTCTTGATTCTGTATACTATCTACTCTCTAAAAAAATTGGGCCTTTACGGGTCAAGAAAAGTGAGCTCCAAACTGCGTAAACTCCAAATTTGGAGCTCACTTACGCATCCACATTTTACTTATTGACCTCACCTGAGGTGATAAAGTTCAGGGTCAAAAAAGTGAGCTTCGAACTGTGTAAATTTCAAATTAGGAGCTCACCAAAGAAACCAGCTGTGTTGCTAGAGGCATCCCAGATGATGCTACTAGCATCCCAGGTGATGCCTCTATCATCTCAGGTGATGCCTCTAGCATCCCAGATGATGCCTCTAGCATTCCGGTAATGCCTCTAGCATCACAGCTGATGCTACTCGCATCCCATGCAATGTATCTATTGAACATCAGATATAATTCGACCTAGTTTCTCAGTCAAATAGGACCGTACTGCTTTAAACCGAAAAACATGGACTGTATTTTATGGTAAAACGTGGATGGGAAAGTGAGCTCCAAATTTGGAGTTTACATGTGGAGCTCAGTTTTCTTAACCGTCTTTACGAAACCGAAAAAAGGTTTCGTGAACCTACAAAACTAAAAACTGGTTCTTCACCTGGGTACAAACTCGAAACCATTCTTGGTAGTTTCGTACATCTGTACAAACCCTTTTTTTGGTTTCGCGCTATTTTTCAGAACCTTTTTTCAGTACAAACCCGAAACCTTTTTTGTTTCGTGAAAAAGATCCAATTTTTTTAGAGAGTACTAACTATTCCTAAAAGCTCTTTAATTTTCATACTTTTCTATTGAGTTCAAGTTCTTTTTGAGCTCGGCAACAAGTGAGTCGAAGTAGGCCGTTTATTCAACTGCTGAGAGTTTGTCGTCTTCATCGTTGCTGGTAGTGTTGGTCAGATCGAATGAGAGAACTAGCCAGATTGTTACTCGTCAGCTGACGTTCCTGCTTACATTTGATCATGGTGCATCTTTCATTGAGAAGAATGTGCTGTTAATAATTGTCCAGCTAATAATGTTGTCGACCGGTATTGAACCGAAGAGAGATTGATGCACTGCATGAGCAAACAACGGAGGCCAAAGCTCCGCTGACAATGAGATTGTAATCATCGGATTCGAGCAGTTTTTCATCGTCCAGATCATATTGATTTCGAACCTTTGTCCACCATGCCTTGAGCATCTGATTGAGCAGGTCTCGATGTTCAGAAACAGAGAGCGTCACCTTGGTGGATGATGGATGAACAGGAAGAGTAGAAGTTATTGTCGTGGTCGAATCTTGAGCCCATGACGGTTGAGAAGGAAGAGGAAGTGCAGCCGTGACGACAGTACTGGTAGTTTGAGTGAGACGTGTTGCTTTCTTCGCATTCTCTTTTTGTTTCTGAAAAGTGCTGAAGAGCTCCTTCAGATAGACGAGATTGCCAGAAATGTCGACATGGACAACATATTTCCCGTTCTCTGCCTTGGGCGCGAGACGAGCCTGCAATGAGACAAGGACAGCCGAATCCAGATCGAACAATTCGAGAGGATCGGCTCACATGAACGACTGGGCAGATCGAATACTTTGAACTCGACGCAGCTCTTCTTCATCAGGCGAAGTCAATTCTTTGACAAGATTGCAGAAAGCATCGTCTTTAAGGTTGAGTAGATCAGGAGTCAAGGCAGGAAGATTGAGTGGAAGAGGAGAAGAACCACGCAGCATGGTACCCAGGAAAGGGATTGCAATTGTGAGGAAGGGCAGAGACGAAACCAATGTGTCGATCAAATGCTTTTCTCTTTTCCTTCTTTCGTCGGCCCTGTCGCTGAACAAACAAACAAAAAACAGATGACGAATAAGTGAATGAGGTGAAGATACATGTCCATCCGCAACATCACTGTTCACAGAGAACGTGCCTGACGGTCTGATGTACACACAATCTGAGATGTGGAGTTCACGGGGTGACCCGTCGATCCTCGCGGGCGGGGAAGTTTCTTCTTTTGAGGTGTACGGGGATTAGCGGCGAGGCCAGCGTGGCAGGACTTTGAATTTAATGAGACAGGGCTGGCGGGTCACGAAATTTTTCGAGAAGGCAACGTTGGACCGCGAATAGACAATAGATGGAGTTACTCTTCATACTCGAAGGACAATGGTCTAGCTTTTCAACCTATAGAATGCGACATCGTTCTTTCTTTAGTATTGCCTCTTTTTTACGCTGTAGAAGGTAGCCGAACGACCAACCAAACACCGTTAGATCACATTTCGAGCATAAATTACGATCTCTTCTAAAGAATATCACAGGACCATCATTAGCCACCGCGCATGACGACAGAAAACGATTACCATATCGCACCGAAGAGTAACAGACCTTACAATCAATCATCAGATAAAAATTATGATCAAGATGATTTTGTCCGAACTTC